CATCCAGCACGACTGCTGGTTTTTCCCAGGAGGTGGCCTCGCTTGTCCCAGGCCAAGCCTTGGGGCGGGGGGCGGAGGGCGCGGCGGGGGGCAGCAGGTCCTCCTGCCAGGTGGGCCTGTCCCCCCTCCCGTCCCTCCTCTGCCTGCACCAGTGCCTTGCGGGCGTCCTTCTGCCCCTGACAGCTCGGCTGCGGCACCTGGCAGCTGGTGAGGGGCCAGGCGCCCACCCACGCCCTCCTGTCCCCCTTCTCCTGGCACCCCCCCACCCCATCTCTATTCTGAGTCACCCACAGCCGGGGAGCGGGTGGGGCTAGCGGGACTGGTGTCAGGGCTGGGAGAACTGCATCCCTGCAGGGTCATGAGGAGCCGCAGCCTGGGGTCGTGTCCTGGCCTTGGGGACTGAGTGTCTCTGTGCACCCGCTTCCGTGACCGGGACTGCTAGCCACAGGCATTCCCTCCCACTTGTGGGTACAGCCTCCCACCTCCCTCGGCTTCCTGACTCCGTTTGGGGTGACCCACCCGAGGGGCCCTGTCTGGGGAGACCCCGCCTGGAGAGACCCTGCTTGGGGGCCTCTACCTGGGGGAGACCCTGCCTGGGGGAGACTCTGCCTGGGGGGGCTCTACCTGGGGGAGACCCCACCTGGGGGAGACTCTGCCTTGGGGGGCTCTACCTGGGGGGACCCTGCCTGGGGAGACCCTGCCTGGGGGGGCTCTACCTGGGGGGACCCTGCCTGGGGGAGACCCTGCCTGGGGTAGACTCTGCCTGGGGGGCTCTACCTGGGGGAGGCCCTGCCTGGGGGAGACCCTGCCTGGGGAGCTCTACCTGGGGGGGGGCCCTGCCTGGGGGAGACCCTGCCTGAGGGGCTCTACCTGGGGGAGACCCTGCCTGGGGGAGCCCTGCCTGGGGAGCTCTACCTGGGGGGGGCCCTGCCTGGGGGAGACCCTGCCTGAGGGGCTCTACCTGGGGGAGACCCTGCCTGGGGGAGCCCTGCCTAGGGGGCTCTACCTGGGGGAGACCCTGCCTGGGGAGCTCTACCTGGGG